TGAGCAAGGAGAGGGAAAGGGAGAAGCAGACTCCCCACCAAACAGGGAGCCCAATGCCAGGCTTGATCCCAGGACCCGGGGATCATGACCTGAGCCGAAGGGAGACGCTCAAATGACTGAGCCACCCAGGCACCCCAATTTCTTTCTTTCTTTAAATTTTATTTGTAAGTCATCTCTACACCCAATGTGGGGCTCCAACTTACAACCCTGACATCAAGAGTCACTTGCTCTAATGACTGAGCCAGCCATAGGCGCCCTGAGATATTTCAGCTACCTGGATTTTCTTGATGGAATATTTTAAGTCTCAGTAAATCAGAACAATAAACTTTCTCTCAGATAAAAAAGAAATCGGAGAATATCCTTAACATCTTTAGAGGAGGCTTCTGAAACAAAAGCCAGAGCTTCGAAGACAAAGACTGACATGTTTCTTTATCACAGAGGATACAGAGATGCTGTAGGACATTTCAGTGTCATTAACGGGCTGGCGGCCTCTGCTCTTCTGCCGGGTCTTTCTTGCTGGCCAGAATACAGACATGATGGCTGGAGCTGGAATAACAGTCTTAGCTCTTGAATGAACTTGGGAATGGAGGCCTTGCAAGGAAGGGTAACAACATAAGGCATCTGGGCCTCTGACACCACAGGGGGCCGACCTTGCTCTGAACCACTAGCACGGAATTTTTATATCAGCCAGAAGTAACACCCTCCCTTATTTGGGCCATGGTTATGTTGTGCATTGTTCCCTGCACCTGAATCTAATCCTAACTGAGACACCTGCCCAGCCCCAAGTGCAGGGTCATGAGGAATGTAAGCCACTGGTTCTCAACTCTGGTCCACTTTTAGAATAATCCAGGGAGCTTTTGAAGAACACCAGTATCTGAGCCCCATCCCAGATTGTTACATTAAAGCTCTGACAGTTGGGTCCAAACACAGTTGTTCTTCTTTTCTTTTCTTTTCTTTTTTTTTTTTTTTTTTTTAAAGATTTTTATTTATTTATTTGACAGAGAAAGACACAGCGACAGAGGGAACAGAAGCAGGGGGAGTGGGAGAGGGAGAAGCCGGCTTCCCACCGAGCAGGGAGCCCGATGCGGGGCTCCATCCCAGGACCCCGGGACCATGACCTGAGCCAAAGGCAGACGCCCAACAGCTGAGCCACCCAGGTGCCCCTTCTTTTCTTTTTTAAGATTTTATTTATTTATTTGAGAGAGAGAGAGAGAGAGAGAGAGCGCATGAGTTGGGGGAGCAGCAGAGAGAGAGGCAGAAGCAGGCTTCCCATTGAGCAGGGATCCCGACAAAATAGTATTTCTGGATGAACCCAAGAGTTAGCTTTCTCCATGAAATCACACACATGATAAATTCACATCACCATCCCAATAGAGTCCTTGGTATTGCTCATAAACTCCTTTCCACTCAGTCCTGAGACTTGCACCAACCTTACTCACCACTCCTCACTGTACATCAACTCCTCAAACATGCCTGCTCTCCTAATCGTGCCCCAGAGAACCATGTTCATTCTCACCTCCACCGGGCAGGAGCTGCCTTGTTCAGACCCTCCTCCAGCTGGTGCATCCAGTTTCTCACCTGCTTTGGGTGTTAGTTGTTAACTGCTCACAGCTACCCCCTTCTCTGGTGGGTTGTCTGTGGACAATGGAGCCTCTGAGAGCCACACATGCCGGGAAGGTTAGGCCATGAAGGGCCTAGTGAATGAGGAATGAAATGTAATTTCTGTTTGTGACAAAGTCAAGGGTACTACATGTAGCACAATTTCATTCTACCTTCGTAATGAAAGGAAATGCTAAATTTCAGTTGGAGGTGAGTAAGAATAAAGATGTGATTTTTGGATTTTCCCCATCCAAGTTGTATACTGACTTGTATTCATGGATGGCTGTAGGCTCTGTGGACCCCAGGTTGAGACCCCCATACTGGAGGATTTGTAGGCCTAGGAAACTGGCATTCGATTCACTCAGCCTCACACTACATGGTTCTTAACAGTTAAATAGATTGTTTATCAGTTAAACAGTCCCACCCCTGCCAAGAGACTGTTTGAGGAACTTTTCAAGGGTCACGACTAAACTTCCCCATTCTCAGGCAGTATCAGTGAGAGATGCCTTCCTGGGGACTGGGAAGGCCAGGAGAGCTCACCAAGCTCACAGGGAAGACACACCGCCTTCAGACAATGATGGTCTCATCTTCTCAACTTGAATCACTTGGTACCCTTCATCAGTCCTTTTCACCCAGGGGACAGCCACATGGTGTCATATCAGGTAGCAGATACTTGAAAGTCAGGCTGGGCTCAATTAAGAGCAGAATGTCTTAGGTATTGCTTCAATGTCAGGCTGGGCACAATTTAGGGATGAAAATAATGTTGTAGTTATCCTCAAGAAAATTAATGTTTTCTGGGATGAAAATTAGATTATCGGGGTACCCGGATGGCTCAGTTATTTAAGTGTCTGGCTTTGGACCAGGTCATGATCTCAGGGTCTTGGGACTGAGCATCGCATAGGGTTCCCTGCTCAGTGGGGAGTCTGCTTCTCCCCCTCACTCTCCCTCTGTGCTCTCTCTCTCTCTCTCTCAAATAAATAAAATCTTAAAAAACAAAGCATTCAGCTATTAAAAAAAAGAAAATTAGATTATCACCAGAGATTGGATCAAGATTGTACATCTTTCTTCTTTCCCACCCTAAATTTCCCAAAGTAACAAAAAATATAGATTTTTAAGAAGAGTAAATCTCTCACTTCTTCTTTATCAGAGTGATATTTGGAGGAGTAAAATGGTGGTGAATGGCAATAGCAGCATGGAAATTGGGACAGGGAGTCTATGGGAACAAGGTACTGATACGCTCTAGTTTTTGTTTGTTTGTTTGCTTGTTTGTTTTTAAGTAGATTCCATGCCCAGCCTAGAGTACAGTTTGGGGCTTGACCTCATGACCCCGAGATTAAGACATGAGCAGAGATCAAGAGTTGGTCACTCAAGCGACTGAGCCACCCAGGTGCCCCTGATTCTCTCTAGTTTTGATTTGTTTCATGGAATAAATGAATGGAGATTGAGGAATAGTAGTAGTATACATTAATAAATTATATTAACTATAATATTTATGGCAGCCTTATATCTACACAGCACTTTTCCTTTGTTCAAGACTCTTAACCATTATCTAATCTTTAAATCTATAAATCTTTTCATCCCATTACTGTAGAGAATGCTCTGTCTGAAGGAATGCGTACATTCTTTCAGAGAAAGAGGTACAAAGTCTGTACTTGATCCCTAAGATTAGAATGACTACATTTCCTCCCTTGGGCTGCCAGAATGCCCTGCACTTTTTCCAGATGGATGAGGTATATAAATTACAGAGAACCTAACTAGTATGTGGCTTTCAGTGTGTGTCATCTGGAGGTGCTCGTTGAAAATGTATTTCCTGGGGTCCCCAATCTTGAGACTCAGATTCCGCAAGTCTGGGGTAGAATTCCTAAGTCTGCTTTTTTTTAGAATTTTTTTTAAGATTTTTATTTATTTATTGGACAGATAGAGATCACAAGTAGGCAGACACGTGAAGAGAGAGTGGGGGAAGCAGGCTCCCCACTGAGCAGAGAGCCTGATGTGGGGCTTGATCCCAGGACCCTGGGATCATGATCTGAGCTGAAGGCAGAGGCTTTAACCCACTGAGCCACTCAGGCACCCCCTAAGTCTGCTTTTTAAACAAATGCCCCTGGTCCACTTGGACAGGAGATCCAAAAATCACACTTCTAGAATACTGGTTTAGGCAAATCCTCTCTTGCCATTTTGGTTTTAGGCAGGTCACCTGTAAATGGCAAGTGAGTGGAATTTTTAAAATCAGTTGGGGAGCCCCTGGCTGGTTCAGTAGAGCATCTGTCTCTTGATCTCCGGGTTGTGAGTTCCAGCTCCCTGTTGGGTGTAGAGGTTGTTTAAAAATAAAATCTTAAGGGGCGCCTGCGTGGCTCTGTGGGTTAAAGCCTCTGCCTTTGGCTCAGGTCATAATCCCAGGGTTCTGGGATGGAGCCCCACATCAGGCTCTCTGCTCAGCAGGGAGCCTGCTTCCTCCTCTCTCTCTCTACCTGCCTCTCTGCCTACTTGTGATCTCTGCCTAATAAATTAAAAAAAAAATCTTTAAAAAATAATAAAAAAAATATAAAAAATAAAATCTTAAAAAAAAATCAGTTTAGGGGCGCCTGGGTGGCTCAGTGGGTTAAGCCGCTGCCTTCGGCTCAGGTCATGATCTCAGGGTCCTGGGATCGAGTCCCGCATCGGGCTCTCTGCTCAGCAGGGAGCCTGCTTCCCTCTCTCTCTCTCTGCCTGCCTCTCCGTCTACTTGTGATCTCTCTCTGTCAAATAAATAAATAAAAATCTTTTAAAAATAATCAGTTTAAAATTCCCCTTTGGTCACACTTACATGCTTGACGTAATTTCTGTCTCCAGTTAATGGTCCTGCCCAGGGTAGTTGAGGCCTGGGACACACTATCAGAGCAAAGAACAAGGCCACATAGGAAAAAACCAAGAAACTTGATTAACACGGAGTAACTGGGCCGGCTAGGAGACTGCAGGAGAAACCAGACAGACACCTTCCCCCATGGGCTATATTGTGTTTATGTACTCTTTTAGTGCCTCATACACAAATGTTCAGCGAGTACTGGCTAAGAGAGAAACAAAGACATAGACACAAAAACATGAAGAAAAGCCAGATTCCTTGTTGTTTCTCAAACCGTTGAACTCAGGTACTCGCATGAAATCGCATATTCTCCTTCAGTGTTATTTTCAGCATAAATATGGAGCGTGAAAACCAAGCAACAGACAGAGCACTTGTGTCTCCCGTCAGGCTCCAGGGCAAGGGGTAAGCAGAAGACGGGGAAAGTGCCAGAGACGCAGGAGAGGACAGGTGGCGCTGGTGGAAGGAAGAGAGAACCGCCCGCTGCCCCTCACCGCCGTATAGTGCGGACCGGACGTCGGGGTGCCGGGCCACGCCGGCTTCCGGCGTCACTTCCCCTGGACTTCCTGCTGAAAACATGGCAGCTCGCATAGGTGTCGGCTGTGTGACCCGAGTGAGGCCCGGGGTCAGGTCGGGCCGAGGGCGGGCGGGCGGGGGAGCGGCGGGATTGTACCGGGTTCACAGCGGTACTCGGGGGCTGGGACTCCCATACCCGACCTCACAGGCGTGTGCGTCTGTGTCGCAGGCTCTGGTCGCCGCCCCGAACCCCGGGGCATGGAGGAGCCTGTGTACCTCGGCCGTGGCGCACGCCGCCTCCCGGAGCCAGGTAAGGGCAGGTCCGACTCCTGCCTGCCCACTCCCCTGACCCCTCATTCCCTCTCCCCGGGAGTCTGTGCCCCCGCCGCAGCTCTAGCTCTGACGGCACTGCTTCCAGGCTGAGGACATGAGAGTTGAGGGAGCATTTCCCGTGACTATGCTGCCAGGAGACGGCGTGGGGCCCGAACTGATGCACGCTGTCAAGGAGGTGTTCAAGGTGAGGGCCCTGGGGGAATCAGCCAGCGCGGACTATGGCGTGGGTTGGAAAGGACTGCTTACTCGATCCTGACCCAGAGATTTTTGGTACGTGTCCCCAAAGGCAGCCTCTGTCCCAGTGGAGTTCCAGGAGCATCACCTGAGCGAGGTGCAGAATATGGCATCTGAGGAGAAGCTGGAGCAGGTGTTGAGTTCCATGAAGGAAAACAAGGTGGCCATCATTGGTATGTGTGTTCCCTTGCTACGCCACCCACGTGCCTCTTAAAGTCATGTGAGCAAATATTCTTTAAGCTTCTTTCCGCACATGCTAACACATTAACTCTCCCAAGCGCCCATCACCATTTTGTGGCCGTTTGTTTCTTCTGTCTGTTAACTCAGGAGTGGAGAGATCATGTGAGCTGCCTTTGCAGGAAGGTATCAACGGTTTGAAGTCTGTCAGGGGGCTCCATCATGGGTCATCAAATCTTGTTCATTGTGTTTCTAGAATGCCTCTTCTAGCTGCCTCTTTTCTTCTGTCTTCCCCTCTGCTTCTTTGCTTTAATCTCATTTGTTTGTTTGTTTGTTGTTTGTCTTGGGGGCTTCCGGTCCTGCCCCTACAATCCTCCCTCTGCATCTCTTCTTTTGGAAAGACCAACATGACTTTGTCAGGCCCAGCCTTAGCTTAGGAAGGTAAGTTTTTCATAAGCTGACTCTCACTTCTTCTGCCTTTATTTCCATAACACTTGTTCTGTGCTTTGGTTACACTGGACCGTTAGTTTCCAAATACGTGTACTATCTTGACTATCTTGACTTAGTCATTACTTCTGCCCAGAATGTTCTTTCTCGAATGCTACCTGTTAGATTAGTTCTCACTTACTGTATTACAGTTTCCTAGGGCTACTGTACAAATTACCTCAAAGCTAGGGGCCTAAAATAACAAATCTGTTCTGACAGTTCTGGAGGCCAGAATCCCCAGATTAAGTTGTTGGAAGGGCTTCCTCTGAAGGCTTCAGGGAGAATGCTTCTTTGCGTCTTCCAGCTTCTGGTGGCTCCTGGTGTTTCTTTCTTGACTTCGAGATGCATCACTACGATCTCTGCCTCAGTCATCCTATGGCTTTTCCCTCTCTGTATCTGTGTATCTGTTTCTCTTTGTTTTCCTGTAGGAAGACTTACTGGATTTAGGGTACCCTAATTCAAGTTGATTTCATCTCAATATCCTTAATTGTGTCTACAAACCCTATTTTCCCAAATAAGGTCACATCATATATTCCCAAATAAGGTCACAAATGAGATCCAGGAGTTAGGGTAAATGGTAATGGACATACCATTTGGGGGTCACTATTCAACCTACTGTACTCACTTAACTAAAGGCTTGGCTGAAATGCCAGCTGTACTATGACATTTCTAGATGTTACCACAGGGAATTTCTACTCGGGGTTCCTGTACACGACGTTAATACCTCGCCCATGGTATTTATCATGTGTTTTGTGTTATTTGTCTTCCCCGATGTATTGTTTGCCCCTTGAGGACAGGAATTGGGTATTGTGTTTTTTGGTTGAAATCCCTAGTGCCTGACGCATGGCCAATATTCAGTAAGTATCAGTTGAAAAAATGTCAAGTGGGTAGACAGGCGTACATCAAGAAAGGTCATAGGTTCCTTAGCATTGTTTCTCAGCCTATTAAACCCAGGCTCTTTGATCACATGAAAATGTTTTCTGTCCTCCTTTTAGGTCACCTTGAAGTTTCAATGTAAATTAAATAGAGTAACTAAAAATAAAACACTGTTTTGTTTTGTTTTTTAATTAACATATAATATATTGTTTCAGGGGTACAGGTCTGTGATTCATCAGTCTTACACAATTCACAGCGCTCACCATAGCACATACCCTCTCCTATGTCCATCCCCCAGCCACCCCATCCCTCCCACTCCCCTCCACTCCAGCAACTCTGTTTGTTTACTGAGATTAAGAAACTCTTATGGTTTGTCTCCCTCTCTGGTTTCATCTTGTAAAACCACTGGTTTTAACGGCATTTTTCTTTGCCTCCAGAGGCACTTAAAAGTCACAGATTTGGGAGTGGGAGAGGAGTCTGGGTTGCATCTTGTCACTGAGAGGATCAGACACTGATCTGGCTTCCCTTGGGCTTGGTGTGTGCCCGACCCTGACCCCTTTGTTTATGCAGGAAAGATCCATACCCCGATGGAATATAAGGGCGAGCTAGCCTCCTACGATATGCGGCTGAGGTAGGTGGTGGGGGACATGGGTCAGAGGAGTCCTGGAGCACCAGATATGGTGCTAATGGCTCTGCCCCACCCCCAGGCGTAAGTTGGACTTGTTTGCCAATGTAGTCCATGTGAAATCACTTCCTGGGTACAAGACTCGACACAACAATCTAGATCTGGTGATCATTCGGGAGCAGACAGAAGGAGAATACAGCTCCCTGGAACATGAGGTGAGGCCCTAGGAATAGGGGAGGTCAGGGGTGAAGGTGGGAGAGTGGCATAGCTCCTTCCCTTCTTTTCAGGGTCACCTGGCTGCTTCTCTCTTCTTACACAGAGTGCAAGAGGTGTGATTGAGTGCTTGAAGATTGTCACTCGAACCAAATCTCAGCGGATTGCAAAGTTTGCCTTTGACTATGCCACCAAGAAGGGGCGGGGCAAGGTCACGGCTGTCCACAAGGCCAACATCATGTGAGGGACATGGCTTTGCATGGGATAGGCTCCCAGGAAGGAAGCCCGTTGCACTCTTGACTGAATTTGTTCCCTTTGTCCTCACGGACAGGAAACTTGGGGATGGATTGTTCCTGCAGTGCTGTGAGGAAGTTGCTGAATTGTACCCCAAAATCAAGTTTGAGACAATGATCATAGACAACTGCTGCATGCAGGTAATGTCCTCCCCATGTCTCTGCTCTCATGGTGCCGGGGAGGGGCCGAGAGCAGAACTTACTTCTCTTGTCCATGCCACACATTTTGCCCCCTAGCTGGTGCAGAATCCTTACCAGTTTGATGTGCTAGTGATGCCCAATCTCTATGGGAACATTATCGACAATCTGGCTGCTGGCTTGGTTGGGGGAGCTGGTGTGGTCCCTGGTGAGAGCTACAGTGCAGAGTACGCAGTCTTTGAGACGGTGAGTGAGGTCCCCACTTCCCCCAGCTTTCTCTGCATGCCTGTCTTCTGACTTGAGGTCCCTTGATAGCTGCCTCCCAATATGCTCCCTTCCTAAATGACTGCTGTGCTCCGTCCCCTTCCCCATGCCTTTTCTCAGTGTCCCTGGCCCGTTCTCCCTTCCCTTATGCCTTTCCCTGACCTTAGACTCTGCATAACGTCTACCCCCAGTGACTCTCGTCTGCCCTCTGTCCACAGGGAGCCCGGCACCCGTTTGCCCAGGCAGTGGGCAGGAACATCGCCAACCCCACAGCCATGCTGCTCTCCGCTTCCAACATGCTGCGGCACCTGAAGTGGGTATCTTGAGAAGGTCATGGAGGGCTGGGGCAGGAGGCAGGGTGGTGTTAAGGGGGAGCACAGTGGAGGAGATCAGGAATGCTGTGGGGAGAATCTCAGTTCCTTCCTGTCCACATTGACAGTCTCGAGTATCACTCCAACATGATTGCGGATGCAGTGAAGAAGGTGATCAAGGTTGGCAAGGTGAGTTAGAGAGGCTGTGGGTTTCAGGGCCTTAGCACTCCTCTTTGGGGAACCTGAATTGGGGCCGCCTTTCCCTCCAGGTCCCCAGAACATCTTCTGCTCTCCGATCTTCCCCTGTGGCTCTCAGGGCTGTTCTTCACCTCCCTTCTCCTGGCTGTCTCATCCTCTGGCTCTCCTTTGCCTCTTGGTTACCGTCTGCTATTCCCTCTTTCCTGCTCCTTCCATTGGCTCTTTTGTGGCCGTCTGAAGGCAGCACTTGCAGCTCTTTATCCGGGGAGAGCCCGGGGGACGGAGGAGCAGAGGGACATAGCAGGCAGGATGAGGCCCAGGTGGCACCTTCACACCTGGAAGCCTGTCCCCGTCTGCATCCCTGGCCGCCTTTCCCCGCACCTGGTCTGACTTTCTCCAAGGCATCCGTGTCCTGTCTCTGATTCGCATTCTCCATCTCACTTCACGCTCAGCCTCCCTCCCATCCTGCCCCGGCTGCAGCACAGCTCCGACAGGGGCTCTGGCCCTCCGCACATCTGGCCACCTCCTTGCGACTGCCGCACTGCATCTTCCTGGCCTTGCCATCCTTTCTTGGATTCCATTTCCATCACATTGCCCTATCCCCCCTTCATGGGCTCTCTTCTCTTCTTCCCCACGGCTGTTGCCGGTGGTGGCTGTAGGTGCGGACTCGAGACATGGGCGGCTACAGCACCACAACCGACTTCATCAAGTCTGTCATCGGCCACCTGCACCCCCATGGGGGCTAGACCCCTTTATTCCCTCCAACCTCACAAGGACCATACTACCTACACCTCCCTTCAGTACAGTGGACCAGAGAAGAGTTCTTAAACCTTTAGACTATAATCATCTGGGCGGAGCCTAGGTTGTCCTGGGGCTGGCTTCCTTAGGGAATGGTGTTACCGGGTGGGGGTGGGGGGTGGGGGAGAGGTTAGGGATGGGGCCTAGGCCACAGGGATGATGCCAATTCTCCCCTACAGGTTCGAACTTCTGACATGGGTGGCTATGCCACCTGCCAGGACTTCACTGAGGCGGTCATTGGTGCTCTGCCTCAACCATAGGTCCCACCCATAACCATGTAAGGTGTTCAATAAAAACACATATTGACTCTTGTGAAGTTGTTTTTTTTTATTGGGATATAATGGTGGGTCGGGAAAGGGCATGGGGGCTATGCCTCCCACCAGGAAATGTCCGACCTAGTCTTCCTGGGCTAGCTTCTGAAGCTTTTTCTTTTTCTTGGAGCTGCTGCTCTTGCTGCCAGCAGCTTCCTCAGGCCCACTGCTGAGTGGCTCCTCCTTGGAAGAGAATTTCCTCTTTTTCTTGGGGATGCTCCTGGTTCCTGCCTCTTCAGCATCACTAACTGGTTCCTCTTTGGGGGCAGATTTCTTCCTCTTGGGAAGACTTACACTGCCAGCTGTCTCTTCAAGATCACTACTAACCAGCTCCTCCTTGGAAAAAGATTTCTTTTTCTTGGGTTTGGAGACAGGGACAGATAGGTCTTCCATTCCATTCTCCTGTGGAGTCTCCTGGGGCTTTTGCTTTTTCTTCTTTTTGGGTCTTTCATTTGTCTCCTAAAGAATGAAATGGGTATGAAAGCATCATTCATTGTATGAACACACACATGCCTATTAAAACTGCAGCAACTAAGTAGTTGGGGCATAAAGACACGGAAATGATGTGAAAATCACCCAGTGTTTCTGGGATGGTTTAACAGACATTGGAAATCCACCCCAAAGGTGACTCCCACTTAGAAAGGGAGAATGGTCATCTAAGCCCGTGAAATAGCTTCTAGAGAAACCCACAACAGAACCATCATGCCATGTTGCAAAGGGGACCCTGAAAAACTACTTGACAAACTGGGCACTCCATGAAAAATCCCAGGGGTGGAGGGACCCCGATGTTGCACTGTGGAGACCCCTGCCCCAAGCCCCACTAAGAAATGGCACCGCCTCCGGACACACGGCTGAGAACGCGCAGAGCAGGGATTTACACTACCCCCGGTTGAGGACTCCTGGGAGGCAGCCGAGGACAGAACACTTGCCCAGGGACCCGGTGTGCTACAACCAGCTCTCTGGGCTCCTGAGCCAGTTCTCTCAGCACCTATCTCCTTCCTATAGAATCAAGAGGTAGTTGAGATGTTTCAGGTCCTTCTTTCAGTCCAAAAGCCTGGACCCAAGACCATGGCTTGAGGTAGTACATCCTTTGTTCTGCTGTCAAGAACCCTACATCCAGGGTGTTTGCCCTGGGCTGAGGGCCAGCCTGCCTACTGACCTCACACTCCTCCGGGGTACTGCTGCTATTCTCCGAAGATGCGAGCGCCAGGGCGGCCAGCCGTTTCTTCTCCTTCTTCAGCCGTTTCTTCTCCTGCTTCTCCAGCTTCCTAGCCATCTCAGCAGCCGCTTCCTCTGCCTGGCCCAAAGAAAGGTGCTGAAGAGGCCCTGAAGACTGCAGGCTTTCCAGGCCTCCCTTCTGGCCTCCCTGGATCAGGCTCATTAAATCAGTTTTTTGCCTCCACTCTACGAGGTCAGGCTGAGCCAGCTCATCACTTCCAACGGCCAGCTCTGGTCCTCCCCCCACCCAGCAAAGTCCAAACTGACCTGAACCATTGCTTCCTTCATGACATCCAGATTCTTTCGTGGAATCTCTCCTGTCTCATAGAATGACAGCCGCTCCTCAACTTGCTCTCGAAGCTTCTCCCCAAATACACTTGTGGGCACCTCTAGATGTGTGTGTGTGTATGTGTGGATAAACAAAGCTTGTCAGCCCCTAAAGGGCCAGCTGCTCCCCACCCGGTTTCCCCTCTACCCTCAGCTTCACTCAGACCCAAGGTATCAACACTCACTAGGTGAACTGCTGTTGACGAAAAATACTGCCATCATTGTAGAAGCTGCTAGGTAGTCAGCCTTCCCTCCCTCCCAGCCCCTTCTCCTCCAAGCCCCCCCCACCCATACCAGAGAAGCAATCAATTCGTGAGGCAATACTGCATTTGTTTGCCAGGTATCGGGAGATGCGGCCTTTGTTCTTGGCAGCTGCTCGGCCAATGAAGGTGGAGTGGAAAATGAGTCCATATTTTGGGGTGTTACCCCTTGTCTTCAGGGCTCTGGGAGAAGAATATTTAGTGGGGAGTTTTAAGATCAGAGATTCAAACCCTGCTAGCCAAGGCAGATCCTCCCCTCCCCTGTACCCTCGGTGTCCAGAGCGAGCCTTAGGCCGGTGACCCCACCTCACGCCAACCCACAGCTCCCAGAAGCAGAGGGAAGGCATCCAATGTCGCTGACCTGGAAATCTGGTCCCTTTGCTGGGCCCTGGGAATCACTCAGACACCAGGACTGGCCATCACCCCCATAGCAGAGGTCTGTACAGGTCAGGGAGCCCTGGTCAGCCATCACCGTGATCCCCAAACAAGCAGTGGGCACCAGAAGTGGCACCTGAGTGCGGGCAGGTGCCCTCACTGGTACCTGAACAGGGCCTTTTCAGCCCCAAGGATCTGCACTGTGGACGCTGGATACTTGGCCAGGTTGGTGAGGCTGCCAGCATGAGCAATGAGACGTGCACCTACCTGAAAAAGGAGTCAAGGAATTAGAGAAGCTGGAACTGCCCATCTACCAACTGCCTAATTCTGCTTCACCTCATCAAGTACAGCTGGGGAACATAACAGAGGGTCAGGAAACACAGCAGTATGGACCGATATGGTAACACTTCTTGGCCCTGTTTTCTGCTCCCTGTGACGCACCGCTTCCCCAATCAGGGCCGAGAGGCTGGGGGCCACTTGGCTCATCTTGGACCGCAGGTAAGTATGCAGGCTCTGGCGGTACTCTGACAAAGACACCACACGGCTGGAGAAGCTCTCGATGTTTATCAAGTCGATGGCCGATATGTCCATGCCTAAGGGACACCCAGTGTGAACGCGGGACCAGATATTCACAGCCCCAAACTTATCTTGGCCACCAGGGCTGTACTGACCCATGGAGGATCGCGAAGCATCCAGAATAGCCTTAGCCTTGGCCCCATCCATCGTCAGCTCTTCCAGCTTCTCCAGCTTCTCTTCGTTCAGCTCCCTCCGGTTGCCAATGAACTGAGCAAGGCGGCAGTATGTAGCGTTGTCGTTGATGATCTTCACCAGCTCAGGAAAGTGATACCCATACCACTCCCTGCAAAGGGCCACAATCACTCCCAGCCTAGAGGGTAGGTCTCAAAGCCTCAGCCCTCTCCATAGCTATTCTTTACCCAGAGAAAAGGGATCAAGACCAGTACAAAACCTAAACTCCATGTCCCCCCATTCACAATACAGTCCAGGCAAAAAAGCCTGGGCTGGGGTGTATATGGGTGGATTTACTCTGCCTCCTCTTTCTGTACAGTCAGTGTAAGAACACAGCCTGTGGTAAGCACCGGGAGGCTCGCCCCACCCCATGTTGTTCTACCCACAGGAGCCAGTCCTGATTTTAGCATTCCAAATTTGCTAAACCACAGGGCAAAGACCCCATTTCTCAGGGCTTGCTTGGGCACTTTACCTGACACGCATGGAGAAAGTATTGATGTCCTTATCCAGCTGGTCCAGGAGGCTGATGGACTGGATAATCATATTATCCACCCGGTTCACATTAAACTTAACTTTGGCACGAGAATAGCTGTGTCCCAGCCCCAACTGGGCTTTACAAGCAGACAGATCTGTTAGACCCTTCACCAGGTTGTGGAAATGCAGACGAACCCCTGGAGGAGGGCAAGACAGTGAGCTAGAGAAGGCTCTAAGCCACCTCTGGCACCCATGGGTGCCAGCCAAGCAGAGAGGCTTCCCAAAAGCAACCTTAAGCACCCTGATTAAGTTTGCAGATCCCCCTCCTCAAAGATGTCAAGAATGCTAACAGGTGGTCCCACCTCGCAGGATCTCAGCTATTACGCCTCCAGTCTGGCAGTTGTACCCTAACTCCTCTTGTATAGCAGCACCGATCTTGGGGTCTCCAACCCCCAGGAGCACTTTCTTCTTTTTGGATGGCAGGTGAGTCTCCAAGAGCAGGCGGAGGTCCTCATGAACAACACCTCAAGGCAAAGAACAGAGCTCCCACTAATAAGCTGAATAATGCTTAGATCATATAAGGAATCTTTGCCCCTTAACCGCTGACTGAGTGACAAACGGATCCTACACTGGTCCCACAGAGCACGCAGAGATGGCATGCCTATATCCTTCCTTGCTTCAGGCTTTGCTCAGAGACATGGAGACATCAGTGACTGCATTCAGGGGATTGACAGACTCAAGTCATCATTGCAAAGCCTGCATCAACCACAGGATGTACAAGACTAACAGCAAGTGTGTTAAATATAGAACGGAAACCTTAAACATCCCCAGGGGGACTATGGAGACAAGTATTTATTATCTGATTTGCCTTCTGGGGCCAAACCTTTTTCATGGCTCTTCTGTACCAAAATTGCCTTTTCCAATTACTTCAACAATGACCAAATAACTACCTTCAGCATTAAACCACGCCTCCCTACCAGATTTCACTTAATCAATTATCACTCACAAAGGCTAGGCCTGGATTGTGCACCTCAAATATTTAGTATACCATATTCCCCAGACCTTGGGCTCTGTTTTTTGTTTTTAAAGATTTTATTCATTTATTTGACAGAAAGAGACATGAGACAGGGAACACAAGCAGCG